ATCAGCGCCAGAAGGGACTACATCATCTGTCCTGTTTTTGACTGCTAGGTTCTTGGCGCTTGGCAAAGTTTCCTCCAGTAAAGCATCTCCAGGTGAACTGAGAGATGGTGAGGGAATGGATTCATCGTGCACATTAAGATCTTGTTCAGTCTTCGTTAGTGAAAAAAGTCTTGCCTTCTCGATAAAACAACTGTTTATGGATTTAGTATCATCTTCATAGATAGTGACATAATAGACATCTTGAGATATATTGTAGTGTTCAAACCTCGCCAAAACAGTCTGGTGCAGGAGCAGTGATTTCAAGTAGTCAATCTGGTCTGTAGTCCACTCTGTGCCGTTATCTTTTACACCATCAAGAGAACAGGAATATGTGATAACTGGCATTCTCAGGAACTTTCCATGCAGTGGTTTGATGTCTGCAACTGGGACCAATTCAGTTTTTCCTTCATCCACATGCAAGACTTCTACAGCACCATCGCTAGTCATGTTTTGTTTCAGTAACGAGCGATACCATCTGCCATTTAAGCCTCTAGCAGCACATGGATCCCCGCAGGTCTTTGGTTGCGTCTCTCCTAAATCTGAGCTCTCTTCATAGTGCTGGTGGATCTGTTCTGATAATATCTTTACTGCCTTGGAAAAAATTAGGAGTCTGCAAAACATGTTCTGTGGATTATTTACCTCAGTCACGATAATAGTTTCAAAACAGTCAGTTAATAGTTCTGGGTAAAAGTATTGGTCATGCTTCTCAAGTTGGTAATCAACATTCAGATTCTGTTCCTTTGTTATGCCGGAGGACTCAGAACCCTCTCCTTTGGGTAAATTAAGACATTTCTGTACAAGGCATTTAAACTCATCCACAGGTACCTTCTTTGCAACTCCGCATTTACACATGTGCTTGGAAACAATTGGTATGTCAAGGAGAATGATCCTGTCAGGCATCAGCACATGTTGAACCAGTCCCTTAAACTTCTTGCCAGGCAGAGACACCAAAAACGTTGTGGCTGCTACAGACCACTTATTCTCAAGGGAGAGGACATTTGCGAGTATGCATGATTCGGTTTCAGGAGGAACGACGGAACTGTCGCTCTGTCCCCATGCTAAAGCTTCACTTGTGGTGATATGGGGCTGTCCCTGGTCAATTAGAAAAACATTGTAAGTTTCACTCTCAATCAGTACAATCCGAGCTCTGTGCCAGGTGTCACTGATGCAAACCAGACAGAGGTCCCCTGGTTTTCCTTCTGGTCCATTAAACTTCCTTTTAGGAATCTGAATGTCCTCTCTCATCTGCTCATAAATATGCTTCCTTCCATCATCCATGTTAACCCATAGTTCCACAAGACCACAATCTGGGTTTAGGTTGACCCTTGTGATGAGAACAGGTACTTCTGATCCTGGTGTTGGAAGCCCGGGAATTGAACACATTGTAAAGTTCAGAGGTCAACCTGCAAAATAGAGAAAATAAATGTATTAATGTTGAAGAGAAAACTGCCTTTTAAACACTATTATAAAACACTAATGCCACCAATTAAAGAATTTCCAGAACAGTTCAGTTACTGTCTGAATTGGGCCAGGAAGTATAAGAGTAAAATACATTAGAGAATACAAACCTAAAAGTGTCGTGATAAGTTTCACACTCCACAAGCTACCCAGAGGCGCTGATGCTACAATGCCTGTGTGCTTCGTTCTGGGACAACATGGCCAGAGGTGGAATGATTTTGACCTCTTAAGACTTTGCCCCCTTGTTCTGGAAGAACGTGGAGTGTGACAAAGTGACGACCATGTTGGTGGTGGTGACGTGTTTTGTGTGAGAAAAGAGTTGTGGTCCACTAAATGGTACATTACATTATTTTTTTTACACAAAAACATATTTATATTGGCTTTTTTAGAACAAAACAGGGAACTTTTTTATGGTAATATGTGTAATTCATGACAAAGCAAAGTGGATAAAAAAAACTGCATTAGCTTTGATTACAGTAGGCCACATATTTTTCCTGAAATACCGGCCCCATGGGGGACACTGGAAGGGGAGGAACTTTGCCTCTCTATGCCCCCCAACCCCCCTCTTTTTTCTAGGTTTAATCTACCCTAACAGTTTGTTCAGAAAGAATAACATCGGAAGAGATGTGTACCTGTGGATAGATTAATTATTCTTAATTTAATGTAGAATCACTGGGTCTAACCGGGTCACCCCATGGGAAGGATCTGGCTATGTCCCTGCTTATCTGGCTGGCAAAATCATTTATATTTTTTAAGATAGCCCTTTCAGTGATCGAGTTTGACACCAATGTGCATCGTATCTCCCCCAGTGCTCGCTGAGGCTCGCTAGTTATGTGTGAAATGCACAAACTGGAGCTTCGGTGGTGAAGTCAGCTAGTGTTCTGCGTTTTATATTTGGCGCGGCAGCTGATATATTTAATAGACCTTGGAGTCTTGTCCATTTTATCATGGTAAGGGAGGGGCCACAGAATTTGAACTTAATTTTCAAATCCAAGCAGATAAATAAAAGCAGTTTTAAGACGTGTACCGTTAGAAAAATCACCTATATCAACATCAAATGCCAACAAGAACGAATTATGTGTACAGCACAATAAAAACCAGAGTGACCAGTTCCTTTAAATATCAGTGCATCAGGCAAAAGCCAAACAAGCAGAAGAACTGGCCTGTGGAAAGCGTGAACTGTTAACACATCCACTCTAACCCTAAACTTCTCTAAAAGTGACACATTGAGTACTGTATGGCATGAGGTAAGGAAACAGCTTTTACAGAAGATTGATAAAGTGTCACAACACAGTTTTTTTTATGAAGAGTGCATTTACTGAGCCTTGAATAGGCTAATTTTCACATAAAGTTGAAATTAAGACAAATGTGATTGTTTCACATCATATGGTTATTAAAATCCTTTGTCAGAAGAGCAAAGCCTTTGTTTTTCTGAAAGATACATCCCTGCAAAATCCAGTAGGGTCATTTAAGTACACAACAATGCTGTTTAATTGTAGAGAGGTATTTGTTATTTAGCCAGTCCCCAATGATATAAGTGGGGTGGTCAAAATACAACAGAAGAACTGTACGTTTTTTTCTAGGTTTAATCAACATTCAACTTTATTTGCCTCATTTCAGATGTACAAAAAAAGCCTGGTAGTCAGTTAGATTGGTGTGGCACCAGTTACAAACTGCAATTGCATTGTGTAGAAGAAGGAAACACCTCATGAATCATGTCAAACGCAGGAAATCTGCATCTGCATAAAAGGAGCAGTGGTCACGAGTAGACCTTCACCAACAATGATGAATATATAGTCTTGAGAAAGAGAAATCAACAGCTCTGTGAGCTTCAACGTGAACCAAACATTATGAGATTCACTAAACTGGTGCCATCCACGGTCCATCTACTCTGGTGAAGATGCCAACATGTTCAACAGGTATGTAGCGTAATTTTAACTTAATTTAGGAGCAATATGTGTGATAAAACTTACAATCGTAGCATCCAATTAGTTGGATAATCAAATTAATTACCTTTGGTGAAGTAATTAGCAATTATGTTAATGCTGCTCACTAGTGTAATGATGATCAAATAAGGAGAAATTCTTACTGGTTGACGTAGTAAGCACTGAAATTGTTTAAAGTTATATAATCAGGATACAAAAAGTGTAACTATCGTGGATTACAGTTGCAGAAAAATCGATGTAATTAGATTATAGTTACATTTAGTAAAAATAGGGATTTTTTTTGGCAGGATTACAAATTTTCCATTGTTCTGTTGTCTTATAGAAAACATAAAAATGTCTCATACACACAGGTAATGGAAAGTAATCAAGTTACGTTACTTAATACTTTGATTAGGTTACTTACTATATTTTTTAGCAGGTAGTTAGTAACTGTATCAGATTACATTTTTTAAAGTAACCCTCCCAACCCTGGATTTAAGCCAGTTTGGCTCTTTGCATTATGAAAAAAAACAATCTAATTCTGTTTAATAATTAATTTATAAAAACAATACAGTAACTGAATGGGAACATGATTATTAATGTTATTTTACACCAGAATTTACTCATCATCCTAGAAATAAGAATGTGATTCCTTGTTAGCTTGACTGTGAGACAATGCTGACATCACAAACTGCACATTGTTCAAAAGCACATGTTATTTTTACTCACTGGTTTTATATTTGTTTGGACGCTACAGCGGCTTTGTATCACTATTTTTAAGTTATGTCCCGCCCTCCTCTGCCTCTGATTGGCTTACTCTGACATTCTAAACCTGACTCCAACCAATCACTCGTCACGCCTGAACCTACCAACGAGTACCAGCCAATCAGAAGCAGAGTAGGGCGGGACATGACTTTCACTCTGGGGGATACAAATTGGCGTCCCGGCGAGGCAGTTTGGATGATGTGGCGATTTAATTTGCCCTAACCTCAGCCATTATGGGTTCTATATGCAGCCACAAAAACAATATTATTAATTTTCCAGCAGAGGGTAAATGTGCGGTTGCTCTGGCAACGTGTGTGGACGTCCCACTATCCAACACACACGCTTCACGTCGCCTTTCAAGGTGTGTTACAGGTGAAAAACCTTCATATAAAGCGTCATCAACACACAGCCAGGCTGCTTCTAAATACTCACACACAAGTCGATTTTCCTCACCGCGTTTGGTGCAAGCGACTCATCATCACTGCACTCAGTGGCAGGGGGTGGGCGGGCACTCACATGGGCTTTTTAAAGGTATTGATTGCATGCACATACCTGTGGGTGATTAGAAATACCTCCAATAATACATGCACCATGTAAAGCAGGCTGTTTATAATCTAGTTATGCTCACATGGGCGTAAATTCCAAATGCTGCACGATTTTAATGGCTGATTAAAAGTTTAACTCGCTGCTTTTTCCCCCCATTTCCATTTTTTAGTCGTACACGCGCACGCACACAGGTAAGCGCGCTGAGCCAATCACGCTGCACGCTCTCGGTTCCGTGTTTGTAAGTGAAGTGACACCCTCAACTGTCACTGCAGCTGCAGCTCAGTGCACTCCGACCAGGAAGTCTTAAAACGGTCTACCGTCTCCTGAACATGACCATGTTATTTTTGCAGGCTGCACACACAGGCAATCGCACAATGGTAGGCGAAGTTTATAACCAGCTTGTCATAATTTGTTTGTGATCCAGAAAAGCTAAAGTGTACCACAAGTTTTCTTAAAAAGTGTTTTGAATTCACCTGTTGCTGCCTCAGTGGCTGTAAGTCAAAGGGCAATACTGGACTTTGGTGTGTTGTCTTAAAGAAATGGGAAAAAGTCAGCCTGTTCAGCTGACTTTGCAAACCTTCTGGATATGCCAGAACTTGTTTGACTTTTAGAGTAGTAAATTAGAGCACAAGACGTTTTTAAAATAGGTTTATCGAGGCCTGATGAATCTTAATCTCAGTGTGAAACAGTGAGGAAACATTAGGAAGCAGAGAAGCTGCAGTAAAATGTGAATCTGCAGGGCTGTGTTACACAATAACACCTGCTGTTGTTGCTGGTTTCAGTACGTGGCTTCCTGGGCTTGAAGACAAAGCCTCACATTTATTTTTTCCTACATGCTCACTCTTTGAAACCAGTGTTTGCAATTGCATTCTTTAGAGCTACTCGTCGTCTTCAAGTATTGCCCCCGCAGTTGTGTCTGACGTCACATTTCTGCACGTCTCAAAATAGCAAAACTCAGTTTATGCAAAGGAGGAACTTGAAGAACTTGTTCAGGGCACGGGGTGATTGACATAAGTAACAGCTGATCACACCAAATGTGTGGTTTTTTTGGTCATCTTTTTCTTCAGTGCAACACAAAGCACATAAAACATCACAAACGTGCACCAAGAACAGATCTGTAATCAGTTAAACCCCTACAGACTGATCAGTAAAAACTTACAGATGGAGTGAAACCTGACTTTAAACTCCAGACTAACCTAAAGAGTCTTATTTGTCTTAAGGTGAAGAAATAACAAAGTACAGATATTAGTGTTTTTAATCTCTTAATTCTATTTCCAGTGACTTGTTTTTCGAAATGAGTAAGAGGAAAGGCAAAGTGATCAGTGATGCGACAGCTGTCAAGAGCCGCAGAGTGACAGCTGTGGGTATCGAAGATGCACCAGACGACACGAACCATCAGAGACCGTCCTCCAGCGGCGCTCACTCTGCCACCGTGAGTAATTCCCCCATCAAGCACTAACTCTGTTTCTTTGCTTCCCATCAGCTCATTAACAGCTAAATATTGTCTCCTGTGTGTATTTCCAGGGAGATATCGGCCTCATTGAAAGCGTCACTCTGAAGAATTTCATGTGTCACCATTTGCTCGGTCCCTTCCAGTTTGGGCCCAATGTGAATTTCATTGTCGGCAACAATGGGAGTAAGGACCAAGCTTTTTTTTTTAAATCTCCTGTTGACTGTGTTCCTTGTGTGTTTTTAGTCAGTTCAGATTATATTTATATAGCTCATAATCACAATTGGCCTCAGTGTTTACAATCTGTTTCCAAAAAAGAACCTTTTATAACCTCAGGAAGAGACACAGAGGAGAGATCCGTGCAATAGATGTTGAGTGTACAGAGCACACCAAGAAAATCACATTATATACAAATTATTACTGCGTTGACTGTCAATTCACTATGCAACTAATGACTATTTTCATTATCAGTTAATCTTAATTAAGCGTTTGGTATGTAAAATGTCCTAAAAACAAGGATGAAAATGCTTATCTCCCCAATCCCTATTTAATAAAGGTATTAAAATGCCCCCAAAACATAATAATTTTTTAAAAAGAGTCCAAAACCTGAAAATAATCAGTTTGCTCTGCATAAATCTCCACAAGTGAAAGCTGGAACTGAAAAAGGAAGTCATATCTGTCGCATCAGAGTAATATCCAGAGATATGCTTTGTTTTTTAATAGACGTTAGATATTTAAAGATGCATCGTCCGTAGAGGCAAAATAACACTGAGAAATCGGTGAAATCAGAAAGCGGTTCAACATTTGGCAAAAGAAACCATTTAACTCTAAACTAAAATTTGTTTGCTCAGATGTCTTAATACCTTTGGTGGATTCATTTGTATTTATTTGCATACGGTCTTAAATTCTGCCTGTAAGCTGGTGATGTCTGTGTTGTCCCAGTCTCGTGTTGCCAGACCCGGATCCGTTTGTTTTAGCGCTGTGCCATCGGCGGAGAAAAGGTCTGAACTCATCATCATACTGTTACAGGGAAGAAAACACTGACTTCTTTGTGATTGGTTTAAAGAACTGCAGTCCTCTTGTGCAACGTTAATCCCTGGATGCAAATTAGTGCTGTAACTGACATAGCTGACCAGCAGCAGGCTTAAACTCACAGCCTTCTTCCTGGTAGTGGTATCCCCTCATGCAGTGATTCAAACCTTTGTTTTTTTTGTTTCCAATTTAATTCCCAGGCGGAAAGAGCGCAATCCTGACTGCTTTGATTGTAGGCCTCGGTGGAAAGGCCACTTTCACAAACAGAGGAGTGTCGCTGAAGGATTTTGTGAAGACGGGTGAAAAGTAAGACTCATCACTCAGTATGATGTCGTTGGAAAGGCTGTCATTTTGTTTGCTTACCAGTGGGGGCACTTGTCCTACAATGCCATTACAGTATAATCTGCTCTTTTAGTACTGCAGATATAACAATAAGGCTGAGAAACAGAGGACCAGATGCTTATAAAAGGGACGTCTACGGCGAATGCATCTCAGTTGAGCACCGGATCTCTTGTGATGGATGTCGGACCTGCAGGCTGAGGAGCAAGTCAGGTATTTTTTTTCCTGATGTGCCCAAGCCTTATTAAACCTTTCGTAAATGTCAGTTAAACCAAACACACTTGGGCGTGAAGACAAAGCACGTCAAGGATCCCTCGGAGCTGTATACATTTTTCTCTCGGTCAGGAATGTTCCTCTATAAACTCCCACGTGTGCATTTTATGTCCGAGGCACTGTTTCACTGTTTTGTACCATCCGTCCTAGTGTGAATGTAAAAATGAGACATATTTACATTCACAGTTGGACTGATGTTTTTCAGTTGTAAATGTCAGAGTTTTTTTTTATAAATAAAAGAATGTTGAACTGCTCTGCACCAGTGCGCCAGGCTGTGACGTGTGTAGGAGAAACTACAGTGGCCGCTACAGTCAGATTCGGTTTGTTAGACATGACCAAGAAACGCGTTAAATCCTCACAATTTTAACTGAAAAATGAACCACTTCTCTCTTGTATTTTAGGACAACTTATCTCAACCAAGAAGGAGGAGTTGACGGCCATTTTGGACCACTTCAACATCCAGGTACTTTCACTTATTTTATTGATTTATTGATTTACGTAACTGTAGTTCATGCTTGTTGCAAACACATCCTACTTACTGCAACGTAATCATACCTGTTTGTTTTGTGTATTCCAGTTGGATAACCCAGTGTCCATTCTCAACCAAGAAATGAGTAAACAGTTCCTGCATTCAAAAAGTGAATCGGACAAGTATAAGGTAGAGCAAATATTCCTTATGAGCTTTACATTTTAAGATTACGCCTGTATTAAGCGAGGATAATATAATATTTTTTGGCCTCTTTCACAGTTCTTCATGAAAGCAACTCTGCTGGAACAGATGAAAAGGGATTACATCCACATCAAGCACACCAAAACAGTCACCAGACAGCAGGTTGAGAAGCAGGAGGAGGTACAGTATCCAGCACACAAACCTGAAACCATCTTGAACAGGAAATTTTAGTAAGCTTTTAAAATGGTAATATGTATTCAGTGTGTGGTATTTATTAAAATGCTACACATGTAGACATTTATTAAAACGGGTACATAAGTATAGAACTTGAGTGAATATACTTTCCATTTTCCACTTTCCAAATGTTTCAAAACCCCATCTTTCTTTGGTTCTCTCTTGGTTTTATTTGCTACACAGATAAAGGTTTGCTTGCTTCCCTGCTGTTGATACGTGTAATTTCAATACATTCTTTTGCTGAAAGAAAATCTAATTATTTAAGCTCTCTGTGTTCAGTCTCTCAAGGACCTGAAACAAGAGTTTCTACAGAAGAAAGAGAGGTATGAGAATTTGTCGTCCTTCAGTGAGATGAAGGTGGTTTTGGAGAATCTGAAGAAAGCAATGGCATGGTGTTTGGTAAGAGTTTATCTGATGTCATTGTATAAAAAACCTACATTTCTTCTTTTTTTTTATTTTGAAGAGTGTTTAGGGAGTGTGAAAAGAAAAAGTGAAAGAATACATTGCCCAATATTTCCTTTTCATTATTTTGAAGAAGATGAATTATGGTAATTTTATTTTATGACTCTCAGGTCAGAGAGAAGGAACAGTTCGTACAGCAGCTGAAGGAGGACATTGAAAAGGAAGAGAATAACTACAAACATCAGGACAACCTTCAGCTGTGTCAGGTTAGTCATAAGTGTTTCTATTCTCTATAATATATACAAGTCTATTTATAAAAGTTAGAGCCCTTCAAACTTTTACTAATGTATAAACCGACTGCCCTTAATTCACATGCTGCATTGTAATGTTTACAGTAGATGTCCTCTATTGGGAAAAAAAACTACTACTTGCACTAGCTTGCAGATGTTGTCTTTAAAGGAACTTTCACTCTTTCTTAAATCTATCGCACAGACTAGAGTCACACAAGTGGAAAAGAAGCTCCAGTGCATCAAAAGCAGAGTTGACAGTCTGAAAGAGGAACAAGAGTCTCTATCGCAGGACAGCGTCAAGTTAAAAGAGCAAGTGAAGACCATTAGCAAAGCTCACAAGGAACAGGAGGTACTGATTGCAAAAACACGATGGTCCTGTGTCTGTGCATAGCTGCTGTTTTTAAAATTCAAAAATATAAATTATTTATATCGGTCAAAGTGACGTAATCTTTTCCCACAGCTTGTTTATTTCCGGGCTCTGAACAAGCTCAAACAGTCAGAGCAGGAACAAAACCTTCTCCAGGAGAAAATTAACAAGGCAAAAACAAGGTAGGGGGGGAGTAGAAAGGTCAAACAATCTCTGAATGTCTTTATCCTTCATACAAATACATGCATTCATGTATCTTCTTTCACTGTATTTTAGTGTGATTCTGAACAATGATGGAGAGACAGAATACATGAAACAACAGAAGAAAATATCCAGTCTGAAAGAGCAGCTTGCAGAGCTAGACAAAACCTGCTCACAGCTGAACCAAGAGATCAAGAACAAACATCAGGCACTTTTCAAAGGAAGGGAAGAACGGGACAAGCTGAGGTACACGTGTGTGTGACGGTGATTTGAGTGAGAACAAAGTACATCTGCATTCCAGTGACATTCCCTGATCGAGCTCTGTTCCTGTTGATTAGACTGGAGGAAAGAAACATCCAGGTTTTGTACGCGTCCAAACTGAAGAGGAAGAATCAGCTCCTTGCCAGTCGATCAAACAAGCTGAAGCGGTTTGGAGATCATGTACCCGACCTTCTGGATTCGATTGCTGAGGCGTATGCCACAGGACGCTTCCTCAAGAGACCAGTCGGTCCAATAGGTGACTTTTTACTAACTGTTTATTGATTTTTTTCACAGCACGCCATTAACAAAACTGTAAAATATCATTAGTCAGACAATGTTTCTTCCTCTCCTCCCCTGCCAGTGTTGCATGTGTAGTAATGTGTAGACATATAGTCAAATGAGTAAATGACGGTCTGTGTTTCCTCTCAGGGACGTGTATCAGTTTGAAGGATCCCACGCTGGCTGTGGCCGTGGAGTGCTGTCTGCGGAGCTTCATGAAGGCTTTCTGCTGTGACAACTACAAGGACGAGACGGTCCTCCAGGAGCTGATGGCTCGCTATTATCCAAAGGGCACCAGGCCACAGATCATCGTCAGCCCTTTCTCTGAAAAAGTTTACAACATACACGGACGGTCAGCAGCGGCAGCATTTTTTTTCTTTTTCACATTTGTTGACCTTTCTTTTCGACACATTTTAAAGCTATATTTTGTTTTCCTCCTGTAGGAAAGCATATCATCCAGAATACCCATCTGTGCTGGACACTATCATTGCGTCAAACCCAGTTATCATCAACTGCCTGATCGATATGAGGGGGATAGAATCAATTCTGATAATCAGAGTTAGTATGTCAATGCGTGTTGATGCTGAGTATTTGCATGTTGAGTCATTTCAGGATTGATCACCGTCTGATCACCATCTGATCTGTGTTTTATCAAAGGAAAAAGACAAAGCGAGGAAGGTCATGCAGCAAGGACGGCCACCTAAAAACTGCCGTGAAGCTTTCACTGTTGAGGGAGATCAGGTGTATCCCAACCGTTATTACACCTCCGACTTCAGCATGGCCAAATATCTTGGCGGGGATCTCGAGGCTGAAATAAGGTAACAAGGCTATTTTTATGTCATGAAAAAAAAAAGGTCGTAAAAAGGAGAAGAGAAAAATGCCCAAATACATATTTAATGACAGTTTTAGGGAAGGAAAAAAAATCTAGCCTGAAATACAAGTTTAAACCAGCTGCTGGCAGTGACCTGGATTTTAAGAGCAGATTCTGTCAAACAGACGGCGCTTCATCCTGTCAAAACTGTAGACTCATTAACTAAAGAGGCAGACAGGAGAGTCAACACATCAAAAAATTAAACATCTAATCCATAATAAACCACCTGCAGCCCAGAGAATAATGAAAGTTGATTAGATTTAACAATGAAAGACTATCCGTAGGTGGATTTTGAATGAAAGCATTGTTGATTTTTAAACCATCGACCTTTCCCTTCAATTAAAAATTTTATTTTAAGGACCAGTTTAGACATTTTGGAAAATACGCTTGTGCCCACATGAAAAGATTGATACCTCTTGAGACTACAACCAGCATCCATCCACCATACCTCATTTGTTTAATATGAGTCAAGCTATCTGTTTCCCTCTGTTTCCAGTCTTTATGCTAAGCTGAGATGACCGGGTGCTAGATCTAGCTTCATGTTTAGTGTTTTATTGATGTTCTCATCTACTATTTCCATAAATTAAGAAAAACTCCATGATGTTATTAACATTATATGATGTACAGTGTGCTGGATTTCCCTTTCTTATGTACAGCCAAAGCAGGATATCTGTTTGCCAATACTGGCCTGTTGCAGACATATCAGTATCATAATGATATCGGAGTATATAATATCCGATATGCGCTGATATGAAAACAGCCTTTTTCCGGTATATAATGCAAAAATAAATGTTTGTGGTAATGTATTGGAGTCACTGCAAAGCTTAGCAGTCCAACACAGTGTGACAGTAAGAGAGAAGCAGCAGCTCTCAGCAATGTCAACGAGAATTGGTTGAAAATGTATTTGTTAAATTAGTGTGTTGCATAGTCATAGCGGTGCACAAGCCACATAGAAATTCTCGATCCAGCTCATAAACTCACTATAAAGGCCACCATTTTGGTAATCAGTCTGGCTCTCCTGTTATGTCAAAGGGAGATTGGGTTGTGCTCGACTGCACAGAGTGAGTTCTGTTGGGTTTTGGAGTTTTCAAAAGAGGTGTAATGTGACTTTGACCTTTTAGTACCAGAAGTTTATTTTAAGAAATGTGGTAAATTCACTGTGTGTTTTGGATTTGAGATACAAATCGATCCTGCCTGTCACAGTATGTTGGAGTCAGACCTGGAGAATCTCCAGGCTCAGCTGTCCAGGTTTCAGCTCCATGTGACCTCTGTGTCTGAGGAAATCGTAAGCATGGAGAGCAGGCTGAACAGCACCATCATGGCCCTGAAGAAGACTCTGGTCAGTGAACCGGGAACAATAACCTGGTGTAACTTTGTACTGTGTAGTTTATATTTCACTCTTCTCAGTCTTGTCATTTTCACACTATCACTCCTGTTCTTGCTTTCTCTCTCCTTCCCTCTGCGAGAGAAAGATTGAGCATATTAATTCTGTTTTGCTAGTGTGATTAATCAAGATTTTTGAAGATAAAATTTGAAATAATTTCAGGTTTTCTTTGATTGTCACTGCAGGCCTCTATGAATCAAGTCAAGGCAACAATAACTGACCTTGAGACTGCTGGTGAGGAGCAAATCGATGACATCAGCTCCTTGGTGATCACTTTTTTGTTTTTATTTGCACCCAAACAGACATAAATCCTACCAGGGATTATGTAAGTCTAACACTTTCAAATACTTATTGCAGGAGGAAGTTGCCCAAGAGAACAGACAGAAAATCGATGTTGAAAAGGAGACTGTTCATGAAGCAAAGGCAGAGTTTGACAAATATCGGAAATTATTAGAGGACGTAGAGTCCAAGTACTCGTCTGTTAGAGAGCGGATTGATCAGCTTCCTGACGACATGGAGCCGTTAAAGGTACAGTAGAGCTTTGTTGTGTTACTTTGAGTCACAAGTCTAAAGATGCTGTTCAAGGCATATTTCTGTTGTGTAAGAAAGAGGTTAAATACACATAGAATGGGCAAGCACCAGGGACAAGAAAACACTGAATTTGTCAAGTAAGAAGCCTGTTAAGTATGTATGATTGTTAAAAATGATAAAAAATATAAATATATACATTTACAGACAGAGAACAGGAAATAATCTGCTCAAAATGTATCTAAATCACTCGTTTTATACAAATTTCTGCAGTTACTGAGTTCACTATTTGGACAGTATTGAACACTTTACCAAATGATAGAAACTGGATCCCTTGAGGGAACAGGGTGGGAACCTTTAAAAGTATTGGTAGTGAAACTGATTATTATTGTTTGTTGACCCTAAAGGACGAGCAGCTGAAGCTGGAGAATGAGTGCACAAAACATGAACGAAACCTCAAGATTTTAGAAAACAAACTGAAGGCTCATGAAGACAACATCCAAGCTATGAAAAATGACCTCACCGTAAGAGAAGAAGAGTTACAGGTTAGAGGAGCTGTACTCAATTTGTTCAACATTTAGTTCTTTATTTGCATATATTGGAGCTTTTTCTAGCGACACTATGTGTACATTAAGCCTGGCTGTTGCACTTTAACTATACTGAGGTATACAGGTAAAAAGCAGTTAGTAAACCCATCCAAAGAGATGATTTGCTGCATCCAGGCTACTGTAGCTGTCCCTGGCAAAATTCACATCGTCAGACTTCATATTTGATGACAGGAATATGTGACCAAAGCCACAGAGATCAGCCCTGAGCGGCAGCAGGTGACCGGCAGCACCAAGAGCATCGACATGGAAATCACTCGACTGAAGAAGAAGCTCAAGGTGTACGAGAGCAGCCACGGCGAGCAGGAGCAGGTGGTCAGGTGAGAAATCGCCGGCTTTCTAAAGACATCTGGGACGTTGTTTTACTTCACTGTCAACAAAGAAAGATCTTGTTTGTGCAAAAAATTTCCCAGAGGCTCATTTTAATGGTTGAACCTCAGTGCCACAGTTTTACCATGAGAGATTTGGCTGACTGCAAATGAAAGATTAAATATATCATTGAATATAATAATGCATACATAAAATACTTACTACAACTTTAAGGTACTCAAATTTTACTTGAGTATTTCCATTTTATGCTATTATATTTATATAATACTTGAAATACAGTTTGATATATACTCTTGTATTATAACATTTTATGCTTTTTTTACTTTTACTACACCACATTTCAGAAAATAGTAATGTACTTTTTACTGTGTTTACATACAAAACATAAAATTAACAAAATGTGATGCATTGTTATTAATAAAATTACCCAACAGTCTATAAAATTGTCAATATTGGCTTCACCTCAACCAGCTACAACAGCAAACTTACACATTAATGCACCAGAAATATAAATATAATTATATTGTATATATACTTTTGATACTTAAAGGACATTTTTCTGATGATACGTGTGCATTTAAGTAATATTTTCAATGCTTGACTTTTATTTGCAATGCAGCATTTTTACAGTGTGGAAAATCTACTTTTACTTAAATAAAGGATCTGAACACTTCAGGCCAGTTAAAATAATTACTGCTAGTTTTTTTTAGTTTAAAGATATAAAGGAGGTTCACTTCACTAGATTTCAGCTTCAGTAATCAAATCAGACAAAAATGTGTTTCTGCCCACTGAGGTTTAACTCATCCAGTGAGATTTCTTCTGCCACTGACAGTTTTTTTTTTTACTGTATACTTCAATCCAATCTGCCCGTTGGCCATCACTAAATCATCTTCTGGCCTTATTCTGGAATAAGAAAAATTTAGGCTACACCATTTTCCGTCCTGTGTCCTCATTAGGGAGTACGCCGAGGCCCTCGCGCTCTACAGACAGAAAACCAACCAAGTGAGAGACCTGCGGAGGTTCATCGATCGACTCGATAACATCATGTCAGACAGGCAGAACAGATACAAAGTAATGCGTAGGTAAATAACCCTCTACTAACAACAACAATTCAGAAATACATAATTATGGTGTTTACTGGCAGTGGAAAGTTTTTCTCTGATTGTTTCTTCTTCTTCCTGAAGGTCCCTCTCTGTCAGATGCAAGCTATACTTTAATAACTTCCTGATAAAGATGAACTGCTGTGGCTCTATGGTTTTTGATCACAACAATGAGACGCTCTCAATCTCGGTAAGTCTGTTTTTTGTTTTTTTTTATAAAATATTTAGAAAGTTTGTTCCTGTGTTTGTTTTGCAGAATTTATTGTGTGGCGTGGTTGTTTATTAATGGAAACAGAATTAATGATATATTTAATTGGAATACACAGTACGTCATATTGAAGAAAAAATACAATATAAAGACATCGGAAAACTCTTAAAACTAATGACCTAAATACACTTTATTTCAAAGTTAGTAAGCCTCCTGGGGACCACGATGCTTATCATGTGCACGTCATCCCTTTTCTCTCTCCCATCCTAAAACTCTGGAAGCTGCTACGGGCACTAGCCTTTTTTAATTATGGAAACTCAAAAGTAAAACACAAATCTGTTCTGGTGAAGGTGAAGCCTCCGGGCAGGGAGGATGATGGCGTGAGTGACATGAGGTCGCTGTCTGGTGGTGAACGCTCCTTCTCCACCGTTTGCTTCATGCTCTCGCTGTGGGAGATCACAGAATCTCCCTTCAGATGCCTCGATGAGTTCGACGTCTACATGGTGAGCGCACAGAGACACACACTGTGTGATTTCACGAGCACAATTTGAATTAAACGAGTAATGTAAGTTTGACTTCGACTCACTTTCTGCTTTTTACGCAGGATATGCACAATCGCAGAATCTCTCTGGATCTCCTCCTGGAGCTGTCGGAGCGGCAGCACCTTCGACAGTTTGTCTTCATTACGCCCCTCACCACCAGGTGACGTTCTTCTTAATGTTTGACTCTGTTTACATGCTGTCCTTAATTTACTTTTACTTTTACATTTGACATAACTTTTTCATCCTTTGTTTCCTGTACGGAGGCTAAAGTGTGCCATCAGATGAATTACAGTGCACATTTTTTTTAAAGTAATGCATTACTCAACTGATACTGTAGAATGATTTATGAAGCAATTATTTATTAACTCATCAATATTCACGTGGGATTTTTACATTTCCTTTACTACACAGATCCATTGAATTTCTAATTGGTCAAAGTATGACGCTACAGCAGCAAAAGGTTTTCTTACCATCCTTTCTTTAGTCATTAGTCACGAGGGGTTGCTTATTTTATTTTCAAGGCAAACACTTCTAGAACAACAGGTTAGATCTTTATTTGCTCTGTTGCTTTGCTTTGGTCCAGTATTTCCATTGTTCTGCACAGAGACGTTTTACAATGTATTGTTATGGGATAAAATGAGTAACCCCCAGTGACTAACAAATAAATATAGTATGTTACAGAAATAGCTGTATTGCAAAAACTACAAAGAGTTCTATCAAATGCTTGGTACCATTGGATTCATAACCACTTCAGTTTTTATAACATATGCTTTGATCCAGTTTAGGTATGTTTCAACATGTCAAATTAATGTTTTATTTTGTTTTTTCCCCCCTGTTTTTCCAAAGAAAATCTAATTTACTTACCAATTAAGGCATGTTAAATATAAGGAATCAATATCAAGTCAAACGTTGAATTTGTTTGCAGCTGTTTTTTGTGTTTTCACCTCTAAAAGAAAAGATTCTGTGAGACTTTTCCTTATCATACTTAATATAGTGTTTAGACATTAATGGGGTCGTGTTAAACCGGTTTTAAATGATAAACTATTTGTTACTTTCTAATGTCTGTTTCTACCATTATAAATTATATATAATTAATAAATTATTAAAATCACATAAAATATATTATTTCATAAATTGCTATTAGTCCTTTACTATTAGATTTAATTGCATCATATAAATAATAATGGTTTAATCATTACCGCGCCATGCTGCCGCTGCATACTTTTCTTCCTGTTGCTTTTATGTAGACTTTATTCTCTGATCAGATGTTAATCGTGGTTTGTCTTTTAGAAATCTTCCCAAATCCAGCCTCATCAAAATCCACCAGCTTCAGGATCCGGAAAGATTCCAAAGTGAAACAGGGGACGAAGATGTTTGAACTGAACTCCAGTGGCAGAAACATCAGGAATGTTTATGTCAGTGGTTCACAACTTGGGGGTCGCCAAAAGCTTCATAGAGGCTCGTAAAGCCTTCCTGATTTTAAGGCGAGCTAGAAAGCTATATATTTAAAAATATACAGTTGCCCTATATTGCAGTATTTGGTTACTTTTGTCAAGAAAAGTAAATGTAAAGTAAATTGTCTAATAGGACAATGGTCAAGCGCCAAGGACAAGAAAACACTGATGTATGATTGTTAAAAATTATTAAAACAATACATAATACAGAGACACAGGAAATAATCTGCTCCAAATTCATTCAAATCACTCCTTTTACACAAACGTATTGCAGTCCACTGTTCGTTGTACAGTTTTGAATATAGTATGAAATATCCATAAAATATGTCACCTATTAAGTCGTCAGTTTACTAAATGATAGAAAAAGGAGTCCCTTAAGGAAAAAAGGGTTGGGAACCACTGGTTTATGTCGCTGTAAATGTAAATGTGTGTGTCGCTGCTTGAAAACGTCATTTCACACGTGTTTGCTGTTTCACGGCTGTTTTATGAAACACTGTGTAAATAATAAGAATTGTGTTATTGTGGTTTATGTCACCAGGACACAGAGGTGTGTTAACTTATTCTGTTAACATTTTATTGTTTTTTTTCCACTCTGACATGTTTTGTTTTTTAGTTTGTCAGATGAACCTTTTTTTGGTCTCTTTGGGTGTAAACAACAATGCTGTTTCTAGGAGTCAGACTCTAGGCCCTTGTTCTTAATATTAGTACTCTGAATATTTATCATCCATTTTAAACATTTTGGGCATCTCAGTAACTGAGATTCTTTTCAGTTTGTAGCAGAGTGAAGAGCCAAATTGTATTTATCTCATCAGTAGCCTCTGCGTGTGTCCTGGTGGTGAAAGAGGATGTACTGTAACAGGGAAGGTCCGATTCTTGCCAAAGAAAGCAAATCTCTACCGAGTCATTCAACTAATTTATTTAGAGGAATAATGCAAATGCTCAAAACAAAACAGAAGTGTTGTGTGTCAGAAGTCGTGCAGGCGTTAAGATTGTAGTGTTATGTTATGGTGGGATGTCTGGTACTGACATTTTACATTTTATATGTTCTCATGAAAATACTGTTTCCAATATTCTAACAGATAATGGATATCTGGAGCTACTTTCTATTTTCTACTTTGTTTTTTTATGTGGCAAATTGACATAATTATATTTTGACTGTTAAAACTGATAATATGAATTTACTTTTAATGTGTTTTAAAAAGTGGACAGTATCTTTAAAAATCTTACACCGAAAATGTTTTCCTACAGTTTACTGTTTTTGTGTTAGTTTTACCTCAAGAGTCTGTTACCACAGAGAAACACTTTTACTCTGTGAACGCAGGAGTCTATCCAACCTCTCAGTATTAATATTTTTACAGGAAAATTGTAAAAAAAAAAAAAAAAAAACAAGAAATTGTTTGTGAAGTTTGTTTTAAAGGTCCAATGTGTAACATTTAGGAGGCTCTGTTGGCAAAAATAGAATAATCATAGTTTCATTAGTTTTTAAACAGTTGAATTTAGGAATTGTTGTGTTTTTGTTACCTTGTGAAAATGAGCTGCTTATATCTACAGACACTGGGGGTCACCTCCTGTGGAGGCCGCCATGTTTCTACAGTAGCCCAGAAGGAACAGACGGGCTCTAAATAGGGGTGTTTGCCTCTTTTTTGCACATTTTACAGCCATTGTAGTTTCTTTACGCTTAGAAACGGAGGGTGAAACATCATAGATGAGATCTGCAATTATAGATCTGCAATAGATGCCACTAAATCCTCCACACTGGACCTTTAATTACTGATTAAAGTTGATTAAAGTGGCGCCCTGGTAGCTCACCTGCTAAAACATGTGCCCCATGTACAAAGACTGAGTCTTTACCGCAGCGCCCCTGGTTCAATTCTAACATGTGGCCCTTTCTGTATTTCATTCACTCTCTCTCTCTCTTTCTCCACCTTCCTGTCACTCTTCAACTGCTACAGTCTAATAAAAGCAACAAAAAAAACTAAAACTAAATCATATTTGGGCTCATACTGACATAAACATTGCTCTCTTAAAATGCTAATCTAGCCTTAGTTAACTGTAATTGCTGTCAAAAATCATCATCCTTGTTACAATAAACTTTTTTGGATAATCAAAACACCTTTGTATCCGTCATACTTTCCATCATATCCACTCACGTGTTCCATTAATAACACCTGATAGATCGTGTCTTTTGAAAAAGCCTTGTGATGGTTTATTCATTTTAATCACTACAGAATTATTTTTGGGTGCAACACATGCCACATGTATAAAAGAATACAGTCACTTGTATTATGATTTTTCATATTTGATATAAACATTTACTAGACAAAGAATCTGACGTAGTGACTGGACTGAAATGTGTAAATAAGATAGACATTACTAATGTGAGGGTTGGTTTCAATTATGTTATAGACAGAACAGTGAAAAGCTTCTGCAACCTCCACTACTGTAAGTGGACTACAAGCAGACACTCAGTCCATGCTTGCATAGCCTAGAAATGGGGAAGCAAAACTGTTGAAAGAGAATTTCTGAACTCGCTTGAACCCACATCGTCATCCAGCTGCCGTCTCACACGCTCTGAAAACGCTCTTTCAAAAGCTTTGTTAAGCACCTCTCTTGAGGGTCCTGCATCTTTAATGATTGTTGCAAACGGAATAGTTTAGAAGATGAGACCTTTCAATAAAAAGTTTCTCCTTACAAAAAAGTTTTATAAGTAGGAATGCAGTGTGTCCAGTAAACATATATGAGGCTTTCCCCACCCCCTTTTTTTGCTGCATTGGAAGTGGAGCCCCTCTCACAAGGTCCCCGGCCCAGAGAGTGAGCTCCCAGCAATAAGGTCAAAAGCCAAAACTGTACTCAGTTTGCAGTGCTTTTCCTTTCTGTAAACATGTTGATATGTACTGAGTTAAGTTGTTTAAGTCTAAATCGCATAAGCAGCCTGAAAAAGAAGCCAATTTTGGATCCTTGGGGGAATAATGCATGAGTACTGTGCCTACTGACAGCCGTAATTTAGGCCTTTCTTCTAGTTTAAGCGGCAGCAGTACAATAAATTCATAAAAGGAATGCTGCTCCATAAATACATTTCATCCCAGAAGTCACTGAAGCAAAACATAATACGATGTTTATGTGAAAGCTCTTCCTCGGAGATTATCCCGCAACTGCAACCCAAATATCTTTCAAAAACTCAAGTGTCGCACATACACGTGTGTCAAATGTAGGGAAGCATGCTCCCACATTACTGGAGGTGAAGTAATGAAAGTCTGATGAGTCACATACTGTACATCCCATGCAACAATACTAAATGAATTTCCGGAGGGTTTCTCTTTTATAACCACCTAAAGATGCAAAAGGTAAGAGATTATATTTTTTGACATATAATATATGCATGCAAAGAACCTACTCTTCTTGGTTCCATCATGTGAAAACATCTGGAACAGACAGGAGCCTCTCTATTCTCCAAGAGCTCAACAAGTCTGGATAGTAGAGACAGTTACAATTATCATAGGAATTATTGTTTTGTTACTATTATGTAAAGCGTACAGTAGTTGCAGCAGTCAACACTGGGGATCCTAAATACTGCAGGAACATAATTTAATGCAGTGCTCCACTGATATACAAGCTAGGGTTGAATGAGAATGTATAGGGTTACTGTGCACAAATCACATTGGCATGTTTTGAAATAGAAATGTATGATATCTTATAGCTATATTCAAAATTATTCAGCATTTGACATTCTCATGCATACAACCACAAGAAGCGAGTCCATTGAAAAATAGTCCAAGCATTGTTTTTTTTCCTGTGGAAATGGCAGAGAACCTAATGAGACATTAAAACATGTGCTGCTGTCCAGAGTGTGTGGATTACAGACAAGGAGAGGAGCGAGCAGGGAGGGCTCACTTCTGCATGTCACACTGCAACAGGAGCACGATGGACGGGTCGCTCTTCGCCGCCTCTTTGAACTCGTCCAACGAGATCTGGTCGTCGTTGTTCTTATCCATTTTGCTGAAGATCTTGTCCACCCTCTGCTCTGGTGTCAAACCATCCTCGTTCATCTTCATCATGATCACAGTGCCCACCATTTTGTAGATCGCCTGTGGGTGAGACGCAGTGAGAAATTAGCTGAGGATTGTTTATTATGTAATACAGTGAAGCCTACATGTGCTCATTTTTTCATAGAAGTGTAGATCTCCATCCAGGGGTACTTGTAACGTAGAGGGCACTTGTGTGGAAAGCTAAAATAATTAATTCAACTAAATTAAACAACCTAAAGCAAGGATAGGATTATAAACTGGTGTGATTCTAATGGTAAATGTACAATAATGTAAGCTGTCCATCTACCTGAGTCAGTTAACCACTGACTAAACACATTAACAACATATAGCAGCTAGAGGGGGTGAAGGGGATAATGCCAGGTGTCATCAGGAGTAAACTGTTGGAAACAATTGGGATACTGTAACTACACAACTCGAGAAAATATATAATATAGGTCTAGTTGTTTTTAGGGATTTTAATGCATTTTAATGCAAAAATGTTTATACCTTTGAATAGTTAAAGCAGATAATTGAAATTCTTAACTAAACTGTTTACATTGTTAGTTGAAATTAATGGATAAAGTTTGAAATTACCAGCTAAAAGTAATGAATAAACAGTTGAAATAGCCAACAGTAAAGGCTAAATCTTTGAAACGTCCAGCTTATTTGACCAAAGCAACCACTGACAATTCACTTGTAGCCTATGTGAAAAAACAACAACACTTTTATATAAATATTCCTGTTTAATAACACCTAGTTTATAATCCCTTTATGAAAACATGAGAGATTGTGCCAATGAAAGGGCGCTTGAGTTAGAGAGTCAAACCAAAAAAAGGGTTGGGAACCACCGAGTTGCTTCGGACACACATTTATCACTACAGGAATTGTCAATATGCTCTAATATCACTGAGACATATCAGATTTACTATATGATTGTGTTTCCAGAAATGGCACAATGTAATTCAATACAACTGCAGTTTTGTCGCTATGACACCGCCTCTGTAGTCAAGGCATTGCAGGTGTGCAGGAGACTGATAACAACGAAAAAACAGAGCCAGTCCCCTGATGAGCGAGGGTTTAATGACTCGATAATCCCTTACCTCGATTATCTCCAGCATCTCCACTCTAGTGATTTTGCCGTCACCATCCAGGTCATACATGTTGAAGGCCCAGTTGAGTTTCTGCTCAAAGCTGCCACGGGATGTGATGGACAGAGCGCAGATGAACTCTCGGAAATCAATGGTCCCGTCTCCGTTTTTGTCAAAGGTTCTGAAGGCGTGTTGTGCAAATTTGGATGCATCGCCATAAGGGAAGAACTGTAAAACGTGGGAGAGATGTGTTCGATAATTCAAGCAGGGCTTTAAAAAGCATTTAAAACACCAGTTTTTATGATGTGTGAATAGCCGTGGCAGTGATTAAAACTCAGAAGAGAGGCACACAAACCTTGACATAAAGCTGCTGGAACTCATCCAGATTCAGCCTGCCAGTGGGGCAGTCTTTCAGGAAGCCTTTGTACCACTGCTTCAGCTCATGTTCATTAAACTCTGTACTCTTCACCAGATCCTCCATCACCTCGGGAGTCAGCTTGCTGTTCTGCTTTCCCATGGTTCCTGTGGTGCAAGAACACGTGAATAATGCATTTATCTATGCTTGAGCGATGGCAGTATGAAAATCTCTCGCACAGCATAGAAAACCCTTTTTTTATTTCCTCTTCAGACACGAGTACAGAGAGTAAAATGTGTGTGTTTTTTTTTGTGTGGGAGAAAATATTTCCCTGGTGCTCTTGTTCTATTTCTGTCCCCTTCAGCCTGCTTGTGCCAGTCTGTGGTCCGCGTAGCACTGACCTGGATCATCACTGTCAAAGCAGATCCAGTTCATCAAATAGTTCGATCGCTGCTATCAAGTTTCCACTGCAAACACTGTCCTATGACCCGACAATGACAACAAAGGCTGCGCTTGGTTGTACGAGAGGCACCGCTGCACTAAAGCCAGACCCCTGAGTAAAGCGCATAGGCCTGCGCTAATCAGGATCAGTGGGGAATATAGCTTATAACTGGGTGGTCTGTAGGCCTATATAATGTAGTGTTTAAGCCAGTTGTGGGCAATCCAAATACCAATCATGCTGGATTAGTTTGCTATCCACACTGAAGGGCCTCAGTAACCATTATGACAACTTGAGCAACCATACCGGAGCAGCCTGTCAGAGGCCCCACATTCATTAATTATTGACTCATGATGTGGCAATTGACATAAAGTGGCCAAGAATGCGTCAATTCTCAATACATAATTCAACAAAATGAGACAGCAGGATAATATTTGCATATCCAGAACACAGGGCACATTGTGGGAACCTCCACCACTTGAGACCAACATATGGTCCACATCTCTGCAGCAGCAGCAGCAGCAGCAGCAGCATGACAGCAGGCTGGACAGCTCCACCACAGACAGCACTGCATTGGCTCGGGCCTTCCACAACAAACAGCAGAAATGTGTGCTGCAGCCAAAATCAGTGCAAACCACAGCCTTTAATGTGCACCCGCTGCTTGCCATTAACCAATCCCGACGAGCGTGATTGGTAATTATAGGAACCGATCATGTGTTTAATCTCTAAAATTGGCTACAGTGAATGACCTTGAGGACTAACATTTTTTTGCAGGAAGATGACAAAACGGGATTGTTCCGCGGAGCGTTGAGCTGAGAACAAACCGCTCGACATCGCGCAAACTGCGGTGTTTTTAGGTGGTGTGTGTGCTGGGGAGGGGGGGAAGGAAATATCTGCCTCATATCGCACAGGCCACAGGTATGAATGACTTGTTCAGCCCCAAACGGAGGCCAACAGATGCTGTTTTATTTCACGCTTTGGGCAATGACATCTGAGTTAATGCTATTAAAGCTAACCGCCTCCTGTGAGAGCAGAGGGAGCTGCTGCTGCTGCATTCCGATGGAAACGACGCAGTGAGAGCATTTTCAGATCAGATCCCACCATCCTGCACCTAATGACATCTTTGCATGCGCATCGGGGGGAAAAAAAACAACAAAATTTCATAACCAAACCAGACCTATTTTTAAAACACAAAGCAGCTCC